GTGTAGATGATTGAAAATCATATTAAGGAAAATGGAAGGAAGCAGGAGCTCTGAATTCTAATTGTACCTTCGCTGAGTTTCTTTTTGCATTTCTGTTAGCTTAAGTATGCATACTCCCGTTTGTTTCACCACATTCCCCTCCTTAAAGATTTTAATCATTACTGAGTTTTCAACCACAATGACTACAGAATGCTGAAAAACAAATAACTATGTTCTCCAAATTTAACTCTACTGGCTTTAGCATTTACTGAACCCATAATACAAGCCAGGGACAAGGCTATGTGGACTGTGGTGGGAATTAAACTATACATGAGTTTTGTCATCAGTGAGAGGACACGTTAGTGCAAGAAGAAAGTAAAAATTTTCCAGGGGCCAGAAAGATAGTATAGCAGGTAGGGCCAAACTGAATTCCATCCCTTGCATCCCATATGGCTCCTTTAGCACCACCAGGAGTAATTCCTGAGTGCAGATCCAGGAGTAACCCTGAACAATGCTGGGTGTAGCCCAAAACCAAAATCAAAATAAAAAAAAAAAAACTAGTAAATTCCAGTATCATCTTGTATTGACAAGGCACTGTGGTGATCCAAACATGGGGAAAATAGAAACAAACGGGGTTTCAAGATTTGATATTTAAGTTGAGTTCTTAGAAGAACTAAATAAATGCAGAGATCAAGTAAGCAAAGTGATGAGAACATTCCATGTTGTATGTGTCCGGGGTCCTACAAGCATTGCAATAAAACAGAATTCCAAGTTATAAGGAATGGGTCTGAGTTTGCATATAAAAAGAAGAGAGGTAGTGAGATTAAGATATTTTTACCATTTGGCTAATCATTTCCAAGGGAGAAGGTGATTAGACATCTCTGAATCACTTTTTAAACCTAAGGGGTTTGTCATGTCACATCCCTTTGGAAGTTGTATGCTCCACCCAAACTCTCTCCTAACATCTTAGCTGTACCCCCACTATTGTACTGAAGATAGAATGCCCTGTCCCTTTAATAAGCCATGGGAGGAGGGTGGGGGAAACAGCTGCTACACACTGAATGCAAGGGGAATTACACCAGAGTGGAGAAAGCAGTCTTAAGAAGACAAGAGAAACATCACAGAGGTCTAAAGCTAAGAAAATAGTTTAAGAGTGAAAAGGAAGAATGAGAGAACCAATAAAGCCAGAGGGCTGAGTTCAAGTTTGTCCATGACTCAAAAGATTTTCCAGACAGCTCATTAGCAAACAATAGTTCTAATGACAATTTTTCATTATATGTATTCATTATACTTATGAATGCCTCCTGTAACTCTATCATTACACCACTCTTTGGGTTTCCATCTGAAAGATGGAATTGGTAAATCCTAGACTTTCCCAAGAAACCTACATTCCTGATCACTCATTAATGATAAGAGCAGCCGTAGACACTCGTCAACTATTTCAACTGCATCAGGCCGTGCTAAATATTATCATTCTACAGAGAAGACACAGGCACAAAGATTAAGAAACCGACCCATGACGTGGGTACTAGTGACATACTGGGTAAGCCCACACTGGTTCTAAAGTCTGAGCTCCAATCATTAGCTTAATGACACTGCTTCTTCACTGAAATGAAAAAAAAACAAAGGCTGGCCCTAGGAACTGTAGCCTATCACCTTCCTGGCTGTCTTACTGAGCATTCGTACTCAATGACAAGCTTGAATTGAGTATGTATTTCTCTACAAAGATGAAATCTATGTTATCATATGAAGTATAAATTAACCATCTAATATTTCTGTAAAGTACAAAATCTTCTCTAAAAATATCTTTGTTGAAATTTAATTTTTACAAAAATACATAGCTCTAATTGGCACACCTAAAACGTGCTAGGAATTGCCAATTCTATGATAGGAAAGTGTTTAATGAAAACCCTTGGCAATTTGAATATTATATGATATTAAATTATACTATAATTATTTTAAAGGTCAAGAATTTTAAACATTTAGTCTTAAAACTCTCCACCTCAGTGTTGCAATCAGAAAGTTAAAGAATGTATGAAAATATCTAATTATACAAAAGACACAGAAACCTACTAATTTAAAACCCTTTAAATAAGATGTACAATATTTTCCCACATGGTTTTTTCCCCCTGTATTGCATATATGAAACTTATAAAGAACATTTAAAAATGAACAGAGTACAAATTTTCTTTTCCAGTACTATTTTCAAGGAAGACAGGATTAAATATTTGGAATAAAATATTCAAGCCAGAGACATAGTACAGGAGTTATGGTACTTTCCTTATACAAGGACAGCGCTTGCACCTAATATAGTCTCCAGAGTCCTACAAGGAGTGACCCAGAACAGAGAGTCGGGTGTGTGTCCAGAACAGAAACAAACAAAAATAACACTATTATTTATTAAAGTGTAGGAAACTTAGTGAAGCTACTGTACTGGACACCACAGTAAATTTACAAGAAAAAAAAAATTAAACCCAGGTCAGTTTGATCTCTTCAGGAATTTACAGTCTGACAGGAAAGGGAAAAAAAATGAACCAAGAGAACAGATGTTAAAGACATCTTGCAAACAATATTGCTGAACCAGGAATATATGTAGCTTAGTAATAGAGCACATATTTCAACGGATGAAACCCTGGATTCAGTCCCCTGAAAAACAAAGTCTTAGTGCACAATTCTAAAAAGTGTCAAAAACAGAAAGCTGGAAGATACCAACCTTTGGGAAAATATGAACTAGGGCCATGGGATTTTCATCTAGACTCAAGCGATCATTATAAAAGTATCCTTAATTGCTCAAGTTTCACAGTCTAACAGCAAAGGTCTGGACAGAGCACAATATATTATAGGTAGTGAGATTCATTTGTACTCCATAGTCCTCATGCTCCAAATTGAAACTGGAACAGAATTTGTGGTAAGAATTGGAGTAAATGATTTCCATTATTATTTCTTTGAGGAACAATTTAGGTACTGAATGGTCTATGAATATAAGAGGAAGAAAGAAAGAAAAAAGGAGATAAAAAGTATGAAGGGAGAGAAGATGAAGAGCAGAATCATATATTTGTTTAGGACTAATTTTCCTCTTCTTTTTTCTATTATATAAGAAACTGCATTCTTCTATGAGAAATAAATTCAGACATGAGATTAAGAACAAGCGAATAAAAAAAAGGTAAGCTATTTCAGTTGGGTTGATAAACATATGTTACCATCCTTTAAAGAAGGTAAATAGCAAATGGAAAATAAGAGGTTAGGGGAATAAGAAATAAATGTGAATGTATAAAACAAGTAGATTTCAATTGCATTCAATTATTTCACCCAATCATCTAGAGGCAAAGACTCTCTAAAGAAAATTGCATTGCCTTCTCTACGTTGTCCTTGGAGAGCTGGTTAGTTAACAGCCTACCCCTGCTTCAGAGATGACCATGCAACTTACATGTCAAACTCATTTTAAAGTGTCAATCATGTCCATTTCAATCTAATTAGTTTGGAAAGTAGTGTCACTGACCTGGAACTATGCAGACCGTTTATTATCATATCATTTGATCAATCTGACACTTTACCTCAGTTGAGTTTGAGACACCTGTAGCCAAAATGTAATATTCTTTCTCCCACTCATCATTCTTACTCTCAATACAATTTCCGTATTTACAAATCAATTTATCTCTATGAATAAGCATGACCATCTTTGCAGAAGCAATCACAAAATCCCCCCTATTTAAGATTTCACAAACACACACATACACACACACACACACACACACACCAGATAAAATCAGATTTGGTCATTCGGAGTGGGGTTTGGGCCACACCTGGCAGTGTTTGGTAGTTACTCAAGATGTTGGGGTTGTTATTCCCCGTGGTGTTCAAGGGAGCATGCAGTGCCAAGAATTGGATACATGTCTGCAGCATAAAAAGCACAAACACCAGTTCACTGACCTATCTCACGACTGCAGATCTGATAATTTTCATGTCCTTGAAATGATAGTAGAAGGGAGGGAGGAAAATCAGGCGCATAAGGATATGTAAGGAGAAATTTAGAACATTATATGAAGAAGCACAAATCTTTTTTTTTAATACCGTATCAAGTGACTTGTATTTATAAAAGGTATCTATAGGTCAAAAAACCATTACCATCAGATACATTTAAATTATAATAAAGAAACATTTTCTCAGGTTCATAGTATTTAATCTTGCAGGGAAGCCTGGTAGGGCTGAAGCTGAGGAGGTAAAACTCCTTTCGGAGAATAAATAAATAAAATAAAGGCCCTCCGCTTGAGCGGGCCCAGTAACATCTCCACTGGAGACTTTGTTGTTACTGTGTTTGGCATATCGAATACTCTCGGTAGCTTGCCGGGCTCTCCGAGAGGGGCGGAGGAATCGAACTCGGGTTGGCCATGTTGGCCGCTTGTAAGGAGAACGCCCTACCGCTGTGCTATCGCTCCAGAAATCTGAAAAACACCCCCTGGCCTCTAGGGGAGGAGCCATGAGGGGTAGGAGGGCCGAATGAGATTAGTGCTATGAGAGGGTCCTCTGAGAAGTTCCTGCTTGATCAAGCAACAGCAATTGCCCAGTCTACAATCTGGGCAAGAACAGGAAAATTGCCAAATCTTTCCTTGTTTCAGCTTTTGCATATTTAAAAACTGATTTAAAAAAAAAATAAAACAAATAAATACACAAAACAAGTCGTCTTATCTCTAAAACACAAAATAGCAGATTGAATCAGAAAAAAAATTCATGTCATCAGACACCTGTGTCATATTTTCAAATGTAGTATTAAAGAAGGTATAAGAACCCTATTCACAAGACGACTATTTAGACTATATCAAAGTAGAATGTCAGTCAACAATGCTTCCTTTCCTTTTCTCACAAGCCTGTGCTTTCCTTTGGGAAAGTTAAGTTACACTTGACCAAATTTTTTGTTTGTCTAAAGGATAAGCAAGATTCTTCATTTATGTTTGTTTGGTCAATTATTAATGAATCTGATTATACATCTGGTCAAATAAAATATGCATATATTTCAAACTTACCTTCAGGTGAAGAGCCTGTCTTCTGGGAAAAGACAGCATTTACTTTACTCTTCTTACTGATATTGCTGTTTACAGACAAGCTGGACTGAATTTTTCTATGCATTTTTTGAGAAACAGGTGCTGAAAGTCTTCGGTTATCTGCCGATACAGACTTGGCCCCATGGTGAATTCCATTTCCATTGCTCAGGCTTGTGTGGCCATTCTTTATCTTGCTTGTTTCCTCCTCATTCGGTTCCAGTGCTGAAGTCTGAAGCTGAGGCAAGCGCTGAGGTTGGGCTAAGTTTGAAAAAAAAAAAAAAAGGAAAAGTTCATTCATTAATAGTTAAGACATCAATGTCTGAAAATAATCAAACTGCATTTAGTCACAGACACTTTTAGGTTCTAACCCATGAGGTTCAAATTCAAGAGGAAAAGGAAAGAAAGGAAATCACTGAATAAACATGAATACAGAAAAGGCATGCTTACCAAGGAGAAAAATAGGGTCAGAGATTATCAAAGGTGACTTTACAGAAAGATATAGAAAGAGAAGTAGGAGGATATTTTGGATTTTTTTTTTAATTAAAGATAGAAGTCTGTTTCCAGATAGACAATACAGTGAAAACCTGAAATGTGAAAAAGTAACTTTATATGTGCTTTACATGACTGATCCTCCTATGGATTCCCATTTTATTACATATTTATTATAACCACAAATTATCACCTGAGTCTTGCCGGGAGTGATCCCTGAGCAAAGAACCAGGAGAAAGACCTCAACACAGGAATGCCCCGAATCCAAAGAAAAATAAATAAAGTTCGAAATCTCAAGAAGTAAATCAATACTTGTTCATCAAATGTTGACTGCTTTATGTTAACCATGGAAGCTAAAGACACAGCACTAGTTCAATAACTATGATAATGATAAACTACTTAGCCATTTTAGAGATACAAGGAAAAGACAACAAATTCAAGACATCAAAGTTGAATATAGAAAGAGATGTAGATTTTGGGTTTTTCTTTTAGCTTCATTTGAAGTTCTGCAAAAGAATTTCTATGCTTATTGTTTAACTTGATTTGATAATCATTTATGAAGTGTTAAGACTAGAAAATAACTTGACAAAAAACACTTCTACCGCAATTAAATGCCAATTGTTTTAGAAGTGTACCCATTAGATTAAGACCACAAAAAAGAATGCCCACTTTCATCTCGTTTATGCAATATTATGGTGGAGGTTCTAAAAAAAGAATAAATAAGATAAAGGAATTACAGAAAAGTCCTGAAAGAAGGGAAGTTTTTGAGAAGTGCATATGATTTGAATAGTTTAAGAAAAATCTAAGAAACCTTAAGACCAAATAATTTATAAAGATTTCTATAAAAATCAACCATATTAAAATGTACAAAGTTGTGCCAGAGCAACAGTCCAAAGGTTTAAGGCTCTGCCCTGGTTTGATCTCTGACACCATGAATGGTTCCCTGAGCACTGCCAGAAATGGTGCTTGAACACAGAGCCAAAAGAGAACCATAAGCAAAGCCAGGTATGCTCAAAAGCCTAGTGTGATCCCCCCCATAAAAATTTCATCATAGTTTCATATGCCAACAGTAACTAATTATTAGTTACTAATTAGTAACTGTAGTTACAACGTCAACTAATTATAAATGTGCAAGAAAAATTAGCTTTTCACAGTCAAAAAGAAAGAAAAGTAAACAAACCCCAAAAACCCCTTGAGTTTACAGGAAGGAAGCTAGACAAACAGGCAGAGATTTCATGTCAGAAACTAGAAGGTATGAAGGGCATGGAAGAATATCCTAATAAATGCAGAGATATGTTAATTGTGACAATATGTTCATTTGCCAAAACTTATTTATTTTGTACAAGTCTTACAAAATTTCTAACAGACTTGTTTATGGGTATTAACGAGTCAATCCAATAATGTCTAAAGAAGACTATTCTAGAATCACTAACAAAATATATAGAGAGGAGAAAAAAAAGAAAAAAGTTGTAGAATCTGAATCACTGAATATAAAATCTTATTCAGAACTTCCAGAACTGGGGCAATCTATGGGGTAGGGGGTTGTGGGAAGGGTAATTTAGTCTGAAAACAAGAATTTTTAATTTAGGAAAAATAGTCTACGTCAAGAACTAACTCTTTTAGGGGGCTGGAGCAATAGCACGGCAGGTAGGGCAATTGTCTTGCACACGGCCGGCCGGCCTGGGTTCAATTCCCAGCATTCCATATGGTCCCCTGAGCACTGCCAGGAGTAATTCCTGAGTGCATAAACCAGGAGTAACCCCTGTGCTTCACTGGGTGTGACACAAAAAGAAAAAAAAAACCCTCTTTTACATGGCACTGAAAATATCTAAAAGACATTGATAAAGATCTAGGGAATAGCTATACATTTTTGACAAAGATGACAGTTTGTATTTGAGTAAAACTTTAACCTTGTTTACTTATTTCTTGTTCACATATCCTATGTAGCTTGAAGAAAAACATCTTAACAATCAAAACATTCTATTCATGAAAACATATTTCAAGCAACAAGGCAGATTCATTTTTTTCACTTAACAATAGTATGCTTTACACTGTCAATTAACATTAATATCCAATGCTTACTTTAGAAAATATATCAACTCCTTTTACAATGTTTTTGTTCTCTAGAGATAAAGAATACTTATCTTAAATAATATTTATCATTAAAATATTTGGGAATACCACATTATAGTGATTGTGTAATGTAAATAAACACTTTTTCTAGCTTCCAGCAAAAAACATAATATAATTAATACTCTTTGAAAGCTAGATATACCATTATCATGGCTAAAATCAGCAGTCAAGGCATCTACAAAAAGTATTTCTTATGGGTGTACAATCAATTGATCAAAGATAAATTTTCTGCTCCCGTAACTTCTTGTATTAACTAGAATGAAATCCCAACAATTGCTTGAAATGTAACCCTAGTTATGCCTTAGGTATTTAAAGAGATGCCAACAGTTAAACCTAATTCAGTGTATGTTTGCTTTTAGAGGATTTTCCTGTAATCTCACACCCAGAAGTAGAATGTTTGTGGTCACTTTTTCTCTGAAAATAAAACTTCAAGCAACTAAAGAGCTTGGTTAAGTTGAAATGCCATCTACTAATGCTGGGGATACTGATCAATTAAAAATTTCCTGCAAAGTTCATATTCCAAAAAGACACTTAAAGCTATTATGTAATTAATATTCCCTACCATACAGCGAATAAATAAAAAAATAAGGTGACAGAAAATAACTTGTTTTGTCACCAAGCTCTAAAACTGACAGACATGATCACTTTCTACTATTAAAATGATTATTTGCAAGTTACTGGGTATGTTTGGAGTAGTACTAAAACATAATCCTTCAAAATTTACCTACATTTGTTTTCAAAATTATATCCAATATTGAATTCTATTGGTAGATAAATAATGGCCCGTTAATTTATGTTTCACTGTCATCTAATTTTTACAATTTATAATTTGTACTATAGTTAGATAAAATAATCTTACCTCTTAGCTCCATTTTTCACATTAAAATTATTCTCATAATTTTTTCATATGCATGCATTATATAAATCAAACCAAAATGGAATAAACAGTAGCTCCATTAGTTACCTCAAAAGATAGTTAACCATCAAATTTTTATGGGTATGACTTGAATCCTATGATAAAATCACAACTAGAACCAAGTCAGAATCATTATTTTTTTTTCCTGAAAAAGGAACAAAATGGTCTGACTGATTAAACTGTAGCTACTCGATTTATTTTCATTATTGTGTAAAAGTTGTGTATGTCTTTAAAAGAAAAAAAAAGCACTAACATGGGAGTGAAATGATGCTTCTTAAAACACAAGTGATGCCTAGGGACCCTCACTCTCCTTTTAATGATCCACTGCTCTCATTCAGCTGTCTTTCTTTTTTCAAATCTTTACATATGTGACAGCTCTCAAAAGTAGACCATAGACCATCTGGCATTTTCAGAGGTGTAACTTGTGCAAATTCAGCTCTATTGGGAGCACACTGCTATCTTCTGCCTGCGTTATAAAGGGACAATAGAATGTAGAACTTATGAGTTGTTTTGAATTATTCATTTTTTTGCCTGTATATTCAAGAAATTTTACAAACTCTGCATTTTGTACTACATAATCACATGCGTTAAAGGTACAAAGAAACTTTTTGACACCTCTTTTCTACAGAAAGCCGGCATTTTGTTTGATATGTGAACATTCAGCATCTGTTATATCATTCTAAACAGGATGGGTGCTTCTACAAAAGACCCCATTTTAAACTTGGTCTATATGAGCAAAAAAATATATTCATGATATTTGGTAGCAAATGCAATACACATCAAAATTTCAAATACCAGTTATATGAGCATTCAACATCTTCAAACCTGGATAGCATCAGTCACCTGCTTATCATATGTGTAAAGATTTTTTTAAATCATTGCTCACACTGCAGCATGATTACAATTTTAATAATCCACAATGAATAGTTACAAATCTCTTAAGAAATACTGTGCTCGTTCAAATGTTTTCAATCAGGAAGGAAACCAATAGAAATAAATCTAGTCATTTTCAATAATAATAGTAAATATGGAGTAATGAGTGCATAGCATGGACTATCTTGGATAATATTTTTAAAGTTGGCTGATATTTTACCTATAAGGAACTATACTTGAAACTAACAGCTGCTTTAGTATTATATAAGCAATGCTTTGCTATAGAATATAATCTATTAGCATGTGTAAATTATCTTCAGTCTCTGATCTTTCTAGTAAGATTTAGTAAAATTACAAATGAATTGTCAAGCCATTTAAAGGGTTGTTGTACACATACAAAAACTCAAAATTAAATGTTTAGAACTTCAAATGACCAGTTATAAAATGACAAAAATAGAATATGGAGAAGGGGAAATGACTGGCTGTAAATATAAATTACTTTTCCCAGGGAGAGTTATAAAGCTTTTGTTGAGTCCCACTACTGATTGTGTGGTTTCTGTAGGAAACACTCACATATTTACAAGTGTTTTATTATAAATGGATACAATTTGCATTTATATACAGTAAGGCCATTAAAAAGAACTTCAATATTCATCAATGTGACAAGTATACATATTATTATAAATTATGACTAATGGCCAACTCTCCATCAGCTTGGTGCAAGTTTTTCCTCAGTGCACAGACCTCATATGGAACCTGCATCCTAACAGAAATTCTAGAAATTTCTGTTCTGTTTGCTCTCCAGTTCTCCCGCAAAAGCCCTCTCTGACTTTTAAAAAAAAAATTT